TTTTTTTTTTTTTCGTTCTAGAAACAGTGATAAACGGGGAACGGCGGATTTTCAAACTCTGTCCGTTCCTCGCGTGAAATATTAACGACACTCGTAACTCGTGATCTCAACTCGGATGTCCTAACATATCATCCCTTCAAGGACGAACGATCGCGAGACAATTTTATTACATTTCACGATTTTGCAGCATTGTTCGCGCCGTTTGGCATCCATTATTCTATTTGGATTCTACTTTGATGAATACAATTCGCGGGAGGTAAAGAATTTTAAAAAATCATCTCGGGATTCTATCGCGTTACGTCAAAAATATCTGACCATTTCGGCCCGAGGGAGAATTCAGAAATTTGTGATAATTCTAATTTAAAAGATACTACATATGAACGTTATTTTTTTGGTAAATTTATAATATTTACTACAACATTCTTCGCAATAGGATGGAAAATATATTTTTCTTCCAACAGAAGAAATGACATCGATCAAATTTGGGGATTTCATTTCTGTTCCGCGAGGAGCTTGTCACCACCATCCTTGTGTCAAAATCTACATAAAATTACGAATTAAATTCCATCGAAATGGTACTGGTAAAAATATATCAAACGGAACATCGATCCTTACTTTCTTCGTTATAGTCCAAGTTTTGACACTGCCTAAAAATATCGCGTAACCCACTTTGTTTCAGCAAGATTTTACGAAAAATCGTTGATCGTTCGTTTGAGCTGTCGTTACTTTCTCCAAAAGTACTAAATAAGATTTCCAAAAATTCCTTTTGCTTTGTATTCCACTTTCTCGTGTTTAATCGAGGAAAGAAATTTCATTGCGAAAGGTTAATAGAACAATAGATACACTTTGATTCGAAATTTAGGTTCGACTAAATGATCGAGAAGAGAGGGAACAGCGATTCGATTCGCAGTTAATAACCAGGTGGAGAGGTTTGCCGTTTCTGGAAAGGCTAGCCACTGTTTTTACGCGACGCATACGAATGATTTTCTCTCCGTATGCAAATCACCCGCCGCGTATTATGCCCGCATGCAAATGCCTCTCATTTGCAATTGCAATTATCGAACGATATGTAGGGCACACCGTGATAATAAAGACACTCCGGGAAGGGGAGATCACTTGGAAATTGCGTTCCGCCGTGAGGCCGCCACCAAAATTGCAGGGACCGCGTGATTGTGCTCCATCGAAACTCCAATTAAACACCAGAGAACCTTTGTCGTACGCTTTTAGCACAAGAAGCCTACCAACGACTAAAGCATAAAGAATTTTCATCAGAGATATTAAAGTAAAAAAATATATATATTTTTATATTTAAAATAAAAAAAATATATATATAAAATACGGTAAGATACACAAGCTTTTGTTTATGTATTTCGCAAGAAATTATTTAAGTTTCTAAAAATACACTGTTTTATACATCTGTAATATATATAGTTCTAGTGTTAACCCGCCGTGGCTCTGTAGGATGGAAAGAAAAGTTTAGCGCGCTAACAGCGACTTTATGGTTCTAGCGCGTTTATTTTAAATATTAGGTTTCACTAACGTTTGATTTATCGCAATTAGCATCAGTATGAATCTAAATAGTTAAATGATAAAAACTGTTAATATTATTCGAAGTATAAACATTACATCCAGAAACATAAAATCGCTGTGAGAATTTTAAAGTAAAAAAATTTTGTTTTTGCATTGCATGCTACTCGTCATGAAAGTAAAACTTTTCCAAGGAACCATAGGTCACAGTCTAACAGTTCTCTTGAAAAATGGCAAAAAAATTTCTTAATAATTTAACAGCGGACGCGTGCGTCCTAACAGCGACTTTATGGTTCTCGATTAGCATTTGATTTATCGTAGTTGTAGCATCAGTGAGTCTAAATAGACAAATGATAAAAAGTAACATTATTCGAAATATAAACATTACATCCAGAAACATAAAGTCGCTGTGAGAATTTTAAAGTAAAAAAATTGTTTTTGCATTGTATGCTACTCGTCATGAAAGTAAAACTTTTCCAAGGAACCATAGGTCACAGTCTAACAGTTCTCTTGAAAAATGGCAAAAAAATTTCTTAATAATTTAACAGCGGACGCGTGCGTCCTAACAGCAACTTTATGGTTCTCGATTAGCATTTGATTTATCGTAGTTGTCAAATCACATCAATGTGAGTCAAATGATAAAAACTGTTAACATTATTCGAAAATACGTTAACATTACGTAATATAGACGTATCCACGCGTCCAGAATCATAAAGTCGCTGTTAGTGTCCAAACGATTAAAAAACTTTTTTGCCATTTTTCAAGAGAATTATTAGGTTGCGATCTATGGTTTTACCTTCGTGACGAGTAGAATACAATGCAAAAAAAAAAGAATTTTTTTTTACCTTGAAATTCAAGATCAAGATCAATTTTGTGACCGGTTCTTTACGTGTATTTCCATCAAATCGAAAGTGTAGAAAATTCATGAATGATAACCATGGATAAATGTCACCTTCCACCGTTCGAAGATTATCTTCCAAGATTACCTTTTCCCACGGCGGAAGTGTGATTTCCGCGACTCGCGTCGGCGTAACGGCGACGCGACAGAACCGAGGAAAGTTCGCCAACGTCCGATGGAAGAACGTAATTTCTAGCCGGAGAAAAATTGCTTGGCCTTCGAAAGAAAGTGGGACGAGCGCGGTAAGCGTGAGCTAAAGGCGGTCGGCTTTAAATGGAAAACCCCAGCGGTCTTGAACAAACGGGCCGCGAAGAGACGCGAGCTCTTCGAGTGGTCACTGAGGTTTGATTGCGTTTGGATTGCCCCTTGCCCAGCGAGATATCCCCGGAAGAACTGACTGAGCCACTCGCGGTTGGAAATTTGCCTTGGAGGCGATCGTGGAATTCCGTGGGATTGTCACTTGCGAAAATTTGCGTGACTCGTTCGTCGTGTTTGCAGTTGGCCTTGCAAGACGGATTCGTCTCGTTTCTATATGTAAGGAGAACGGAATATACGCGGAGTGTATCTCCTGTTTGAATCGTCCCGCGCAAATGTCTCCCATAGAACTGTTCGCTATAGAACAAATTAAGTTTCAAACGAAAGTTACTTTGTCTCGAGGGAGACATCTTTTGATGCTTACGAATCTTGGTCTAGGTGGATGGGATTTCACATTGAAACTTTAAAATTACGTATTTTTCTTTAGGTAGACATACATAGTTCGTTTCGTGACAAATTCATCGATTCATCGTACACTGAAACATTGGAGAGGATGCAACTATCTTTCAGAGATATAGTGAATCAGTGGATTGACGCTCGCAATGTAGATAAATAAATAATCTTGAACAACCTTGAAATACCAACATATGAAGGTTGAATTCGTCACGGAACCAACTTGCTTGTCCATTTGGAAGAAATACGTAGTTTCATTTGAAAAAAAAAAAATCACCATGAAATCTCAGATAGTATTTCTTCTATAACGAATAGTTCGCGAGATAATTGCGCGGGACGTTTCAAACGGGATACTTTGTACAGTCTCGCTTAATAATGGAGTAACAATAAAAGAGATGTTAAAACCAAGAGTAGCACAAAACAGTGAACTTTCGCAGTCTGCAGTTTGTGTGAGCGATGAGAACCACTGGGACATCGTGTATGCAAACGAAAGAGAAGAGAAGAAGAAGAAAAAAAAAAAAAAAACTGAACAATACCGAGTCTATGTATTTCTCTAAAAATCTGCCCTGCACGCTGTCCAGCCGGTTCGACAAATATTTGTCGAAAAAATTAATCAAAAATCTTGGCCGGGGCACGCAGACAGCCTGATCGAATACGCACGTTTGCCCCCGCGTTCAGTCGCACGCGAGATAGTATCGATTGGAGGCGATGTGCCGTGCCGGCGGTACGAGACCGATTAAAAGAGGCAAAAAGCGATTGCCGGACGGCGCGACGCGTCGCGACGCAACACCGTGTGCGACCCGTGTCCGTGCCCTTTCTCATCCAATCGATATTAACACGCTCTCTCTCTCTCTCTCTCTCTCTCTCTCTGCTCTCGCGTTATTAACCCTTTCGCCTTTCGCTATCAGTAACCGTAGCCTCCGGTTGGTTCTCCGCTATTTTCCCATATTTTCCCTTTCACCGCGATCGATGATCAAATTCCAAACAAACGCGAATTATCGGCGTGAAAATCGGTGGAGATGTGTTTGCGACGATTCTGACATCTGTATATGCGTAGCGAGGTTATACAACGTGAAAAATTTGGCAGAAGAGTAGCTCGAGCTTCAAGAAGAAACCGAGATCAAGTTAAATTTCGATGGAAAAATTATTAAACCTCGAACGAATACGAGGAGGCTTGTTTGAGAAATATGTATCACTTAGGCAAACACGCGGCCTACGGTGGTTCACGTGCACTTGAATTTGCCGCACCCCATGCATGATTTTGTCCGCGACGAAATTCTTCCCTTATCTCTATCGGTTTTCGAAGAATTCAACTCGTATCTGCTCCTGGTGTTGAACTCCGTGCTCCTCGCCGATAGCTGAGAACTCACAGGGACACGGTGAACTTTAAATCCAAACTTCCCCCACAGTTGGCAATTCGA